AAGAATAGCCGTGAATGTGAGAGGCCTGCATGTGCACTCAAATTTACTTTCACATTTGAATTATTCTGACTTTCCCCTTTAATTGCTGTTTGACTCTAGCATTGAACTGGCACCACATTATCAGTCAGTTTATGCATCTCTCACAGCACAGCTTCAAAGATTATACTGTACAGTCAGTCACTGCTCAAGCATATAAATAATGTAAAAGAATCGAGGATGGTGTAGAGTACATATACCTTATACATATTCTCATCTCATGACACCAGGCAATGATGCAAATGCAGGAGAAGAGTATTTTTTTCACCTGCCCAATTCTCATTTAATATTCAGCAGTTATAACTCATGCAATATTGATCAACAACCACCACTACTGGTCTTGTAATGTGCATGTGAGAGAAAGGTTCACTCCTTCTCACTGTGTACATACAGCGGTACACTCTTCACCTCATTCTGTGACCTTGCTACAACTCAGCAGAGATGGCTGAAACACAACCCTCATGAACCTCATACTGAATAAACAGATCAGATCTTTATTTGTCCATAAAAGCACACAACTGTATAATCTATTTAGATAGTGAATGGGTAAGTCAGGTTTTTTTACATGCAGTACTAAATTAACTTGAACCAATTCATGCATCACGGTAAAAACACTAGATGGCATAGTGTATATTTTTAAGCCACGTGAAATAAACAAGCATCACAACTCCAAGGAAACAGTGAGATGTTTCAGGTGAATTTGTTTCGCATGCATATTTTTACTGTCTGCCTTTCAAGTCCTGTCAGGGCACAGTAGGAGTACTACTCTGTAGGACTAGTAACTATTATGAAGATGTAGTTTACCTAAGACCACAGCGCAGGCTGCCTTCAAATTGGATTAAATCCCTAAATCACATGATCAATCATCCACAGCTTGCTGTGCCAAGATGGCAGAGGTTTCCTTCTCTCTCTTAAGATGGCACAACTGCATACTGCAACAGCAACAGAGCTGGAAATGTGGTGGTGGTTTTAGGTTTTGCTTGTAATTTGCGAATCTGTGTGTCCTGTTCAGTCTCGAGAGATAAAGAATTAGAATATGAGAGTAACGCACACAGATCCACAGTTCACAGACATACACCACATGCACACAGGGAGTGTGCTTGCAACAAATAGTGTGAGGTGATAATTGAATTTGGGAAACATTAAGGGAAGATGGTAGAAGATACAGCTCTCCTGGGAGATACAGTCCCATAACAATGGCAACAGACAGTCAATTCGTCTGCTCCTTTGTCAGGGCAAGTCAGCAGGCAGTGCAGGGCTATGCCCCTCATTTTCTGGTAAAAAGCAGCAGGCAAACGGCATGTGTGCTACTGTGTGCATGCTTCATGCATCGCTGAAGCGTGGATATCACGCCATGCCTCTGTGTGCGCCTCCTCAAACACACCTGCTCCTGACGCCTCAGAGAAAAAAACTTGGCTGTGGTTAACCATACGAGCAATGCCAGAATGCTGCATTACAATAAGAAGATATATCTGTACTACTTCTTACTTCTGTACAGTACTTGTCTTATCCTCACCAACGTGTTTTTTATCAGTCAGGCAAGTGTGTGAGTTTTTGGGGAGATAGTTTCAAGGAGCAATGGCAGTTCAGCATCATGGTGTTATACAATAACACCATGATGCTGACAAGTGTCAGATGAGTCAATTGAATTTTGTCTTGTATAGTTGAAATAAACACTCACTAAACTTCTGGTTTCCAAAGCTACTTGGCTTTGAGGGGGAAATTAACTTCCGAGGTGACTAATATATTATTTAACCTCAGTGTATGCTCCCTCTGAGCATGACAAAATGATGAGAGAACCTTCAAGAGTGGAATGATGCAGGTTTAACTTCATGCTCCACTTACTGCAAAGATCTTAACAGTTATATTTTACAGGAATTATACTGAGACAGTTGAAAATGCTGCTTTACTAAGTCACTAGACTGATGTTTAATGGTTGTTACTTAATACTTTCTCCCAACTGTCCTTCATGAACCAGTTTCTTCTGGAGAGTACACTGAGAAGTCAGTCTGACCTGTGAGCCATTCTGGTTTTAACTCCTAGAGTTGCTGTTTTTAATGTTTTGTTTGTGGAGAGAATGCAGGGAATGACGGGGGAGTGGAGAGGAAGGAGAGGAGCGGAGATGAGGTGTGTTGGGTGTTTGTGGGGGTCTTGAGAGGCGCACAATGTCCCTCTCTGTGTGAGGATGGTTGGTTACTGATGTCATGGCTGGCAGGACCCAAAGTCCACTGAGCTTGTGAAGGTGTTGCATGATTGGGATTGGGACACAGAGAAGGGTCGCAACCATTGTTCTCCTGAATTAGGTTGTGACAGGGGCAGCTCTCTATCCTAGAGAGACAGAAACACAACCTGCCAATCATTCAGTTGTGTTAAGTAAATCAACATGTATCAGCAGCTTGAAATTATGAATTTGGCATTTTGCCTTCATTGGACAGCTTGGAGTGTAGATATAGACAGGAAATACAGTTAGGGACACTTGCAAAAATAGTATCCTGCCACCCAATTGAACCTGGGATGTTGTGGTTATACAGAATGGTGTGCATCTTAACCCTTAGGCCACTCCATGCCCCCAAATGAGGTGACCTTGATTCAAGTGGTGTGATTATCATTTAATATTGTCGTTTTTCAGAAGAAAACCCCCCTGACTAAACGACACAGAACTCAAATTTTCTGTCCCCACTGGCAGATTACTATCACATGCTTTAAGCAGAAAAATGCTTTAACACTGAATACTTTGTTAAGTGACATGTTATCATTAACAGTTTTGACATGCAAGCAATCGTTATCTTGAAGAGAGTGAAAGACAGCAAACTAGCTGAATATGAAGCATACGTTAGACATGTACAGTAACAGGTACAGTATGAGGGCTGGACTGTAGGGTTAAAGAATTTTACAAAGAACAGGAAATAAGCTTGTCCACCAGTGTTTTACAGTAAGTAGCAAATAAATGCGGCCACATTGGGGATTTTCTGTTTTTCTTTTTCTCTCTTCTGCTTGTGTGTGCATGATTACAGTTGCAATGAAATTCCCTTATGTTTCTTGACTTTTCAATTTTTTACTCTTGTCATGGTGTATTTGGTAGCTGCAAGTCCCTCCTTATGCTTCTCTTGTTAAATTTCTGAGAAAGTATTGCAGCAATGGCCGCAGGATGGGGGATACAATTACTATGATTGAAGACTCTGAAAATCTGAGCTAACCTCTAAAGAATTTGGACCTTTGAGAGTGTTTCTATTTGTGGATTTGCGTGTGCACATATCAATGAACTGACCATGGGGTTACAGCTGCAGCTAAAACACACAATTAGAACTGACCAGCTTATCAGCAAGTGTTTTTAAAGGCCTTTTAGCTGAACAAAGCCAATCCTTTAGCTGTGGCATTTGCCAGAATGTTATTGGCAGAGCGGTGTTTATCGACTGAACGTTGTTTCCTAGTAGAATGTGATCGAGTAAGAGAGAAAGGCTTCTTTTCACAGTGGGCCTTGCGAGTATCATGTAAACACAGAGAGAGGCTCCTTTCATTAGCTATGCTAATCTCAGCGCACGTGACGTGTCGCAGACTCCAGAGCCCCTCCTGGCTCTGGCTCTCTGCGTCGTTAGTTTCTGTCTCCAAAGGCCAGGATTCTCGTCTTCTCCTTTCCGGTCCACTGGGTTAATTTGCTGTGTGTTGTGTTCTCCTTTTCTTACACTTAGACTGACAGAAACTTGGATCTGGCTATTGGTGAATCTGCTCTCCTCCTCCAATCACCTTATTCTGTTTGGTTGTCTGGTCCTGCTGACGCAAACAACAGCTTTAGTAGAGTGAGAGTTTGCCGGTGCCACCTTTTGCCCCTCTGTTGCCGTGTGTGCTTTAAAATGATACAAGGCAATGGGTCTCTACCCAACTTTAAGAGGAATTTGACATTTTGTGAGGTATGCTTATTATATTACGACGAGCTAGGTGAGATGATTGGTACCACGTCACATATCAGTATTGTAAAGATGAACCTACTGACAATGGCCAACTAACTAAATACTGGAAACAGGGGGAAACAACTTGCCTGGCTTTGTACAAAGGAAACAAAATCAGCATACCAGCACCTCTAAAACACACAAATTAACATGTTATATAGTAAGTGTATTTCCCATAATGTTGAAGTTTTCAGTTATCATGGATTTTAAACTTTTATTAATTTCACTTTCTAATGTCTTTGTTTGTTTCCTGTTTTGTCTGCAAATCTTCTGTTACAGTTAGAGGATGGTTGAGTTTGAAGGGTATTGCCATTGGCCAGCACTGCAGGCTAATAAACTAATTTTTTCATGAGTGTGTTTTTTTTAATTTAACATCAAATTTATACAGCAGCACCAGATCTATTTCAGGAGCTGGCTATAAGAAGGTAATTACTTCATGTTAGATTATGTCATTTACTCAGAGAAGATGAGGAGAGAATGAGTCACCTCCATCAATTAATATGATATATGAGTTGATAAGGGATATGGGTGGGATATTTGCCACATCTATGAGAGTCACAAGGTGATAATTTGAAATTCCCTTCAAGGTCTCCCCTGTTTTTTAATGAAGTTGGCTATTAAAGTGGTATTTCATACACATGTAATTATTTCTTTATTGATTCGTCAGCATCTTAGGGAATGGTTTCTCATGACGTATATCCCTGCTATGATAACCCGTCTCAATTGCAATCATGAGACATAATCATTACGAGAAAGACCCCCCTGGGAAATGTGCAAAATGGGTTGACGTGAGTGTCCAAGTGTGTATCTGTGTGTAAATGTTTGTACAAAAGTGTGTGCACTTACTTGTTGTAGTATTTGGGCAGTTACACAACGTCCCTCCACACTAACACTTAAGTCTTATCTAGTAGCAACAAGGAGGTACTTGATCTCATGTGCAAGCAGTGACTGATAAATTTCTTTCTTTCTCTCTCTTGCCATTCCTCCTTCCCCCTGCTCATGTCTCTTCTGCTTCAGGCTGTGAGGACGGGGGGGAAGATGAGACCTCCCAGCCCTCTGCTGATCCTGCTGTACGTCACGCTGTCCAAGAGTGTAAAGGTGGTCTCTAAGAGAGGCTCAGGTATTTAACACCCTGTCCACCGCCTGTGCTTGCAGCCCCTGTATGTTAAGACTCTTTTTATGTATGTGTGTGAGTGTGCTCCAAGTGTTGTGTCTGTCTTTATGGTGGCCACCAACCATTGTCATCATGATTTGGAGGCTTTTTGTCATTTCATTTAAATGAGTAATTTTTGTGCTGTTGTTTTATGAACTTCTGTCTACAATAAATATAAATAGTCCGGACCTTAAAAGACAATAATTGACACTGTTGGATTGTGTTTAGCTGGTGAATAATCAGCAATATTTAATTATTTGTTATTGCTGACATTATGCCTAATAGTGTTTTCCCCATGATACTGCAGGCTTCAGGTGCTCCTAGAAAACACTACTGTCTCACTGGTGTGTGTGTCACATGCTTTAAAAATATTTTTCAAAAAGATGATAGGCAGGTAATTGCGAGGGATGACTCCCTTCCCACTTCTGTGAGAATGACTCCGACAGGAAAATGGGAACACTGTTGAGCAATTTAGATGTAAGTGCAGCTTTTATGCCTGCGTCTTAGGTGAAGAGCATGTGAATTAATGAAAAGGTATACATTGTACTTTTTAGAATTAGCTAGACCTTCCTCAATCTAGAGAGAGTGACAGCAACCAAATGATCCAATTGCTCAGTGACTGGGTCATGGAGGGTTACTGTGAAACTCATTTCAGCTCTAAATGCCAGCAAATTGAGCATCAATTGTGAACAAATCCAAAGGTCAAAAGAGAAAATGGAGAGTAAAAAGATTGAAGGTAGAAACTTTTCATGACAGGAATACATATAGGGATTCAGACAGTCAGTTAACACTCTGTGAAGACTAGCTGCCATTACTGAGAAAAAGTAAGTCACTCATCTAAGATAATATGTATTTTTTGTTTCCATAAAATCCATTGTTTGTATACAGGAATGTGTCTGGCTGTGTTTATACTGCAGACATGAGTGGGCATGTCTGAAGATTTAAGGACTGACCTTTAGCTTAAGGTTTTATATTGAAGGAAGCATGCTCACAGACACAAAGAGCAGAAGGGCAGCTTATCAATGAATAATGTGCTTCAATCAGCGAAGAAGATGGTCAGTGACACAGAATACAGACACACTTACTTGTACACCTACTGAACTGGAAAAAAAACACACCCTCAGGAAACAAACTAAAAAAAATAGAATATACTATCCTCATTATTGTGGCTGACTGTCCATGCAACGGTTTCAAGAAGTTAAACAGCTTAAGGCCTGGTCACACCAGGAAGTGGCACAGCAAAATTCATTCTTCATGAAAGTTGTTATTCTAGAAGCTTGGATAACGCATTTGCAGGGCTAGCTGGTTAAGTACTGCAGCTGTCCTGTAGCTTGAGTACGGTGTCAGGATTGTATGTCATTACACTCAATAAAGACATACTGAAGCGGGGAAAAAGCTCCAAACTAGCATGTACAATAGTTTTCACAGTTTATTCAAAAGACATATTTGAGTCTTGTTTCATAACTGTCTGCAAACCACTCTTTAGTGGAACTGCCCTGACAGAGGAGGTTAAATAAAACTGAATGGACGCTTTAGCTTCCTGACACGATAGCTTCCTTATTCCTTTTGGATATATAATATAATATATAATATGGCTGGCTGCCAATCAGACAAATTAGCATGTCAAAGTTCACCAAAGAAAAATTTGAATGGATATACTTCACCTCCGCAATTGAATCCACTGATGGTGCCAATTCCATTGGAAATAAGCGATTTTGCCATTTTTAATGCTACTGTGAGCAGGCCTCAATACTCTACTACTTGCTATATGTTATGTGTTTGACTTAATATATTACAAACCTTGGACTGCTAAGGTTAGACGCGAGCACTTGTATGTTGTAAGTCTATGTTGTTAAATCTCCCAAGTCTCTGGACATGAACAATATTTAAAGTTATTCTCCTTAAAATACTATACATATATATATATATATATATATATATATATATATATATATATTATATAATTTTATGGACATACACATCTGATGTTGCACTATAATTAGTTGTTTAAGACAATAATCATACCTGTAATTAGTTCAAATAAAAGGTTAGACACAAAGCCAAGCTCATGTCAGTGAAACCAGCCTATTAGCCTGATCAGGCCCTTAAGACTTGCAAGACTCGCCTTGCAAAGATCAATCAAGTATAATTGATCCAGCAATTTTGCAGTCTGAAAATTATTTTCCAACTAAATATATGAGGGCTTTGGTCATATAACTGTCATAACAAGGTTCCTGTCTTATGGTTATAGAATACAGTAACACAAAAAGAGACACGTTTCATGGAATTTAACTGGATTTCTGTTCAACTATTGAGATGTCCCTAATAGGTAATTGACTGCATTTGTGTGTCTCATTAGGTATTTGTATTGTAGAGTTGTGTCATTAGGGTTTATGTAGGAGTTTGAATCCATGTATGTATGGACATACCAAGGTATGTGGTTGCTTGTGTGTGATTGTGTGTTAAAATTGTCTGTGAAATTGTCTTAATTTATGTGCCTACACATGCACACAAACATGTAAGGTTGTACATTTTGATCCGTGGAGGATTTCTGTATAGATCAGAGACAGGGCATTTCAGATCAATCAAGTGGGTCCTCTGTGTCCTTTGGTCAAATATCGATATCAGTAAAGTCAATATTAAACTCTAACTGAAAGGTCAAAGGTTATGGAGTGTCACAGGGCAGCTTGGCTATTTAATCGCACTTTGAAAGGCTTCTGTGTCTGCCTCAGATTATAAATAGAGGCAGGTGGAAATCAGACATGCTCACAGTAAACATGTTATCTGGTAAATTGACACAGTCACTCGTTCTCTCTCTGAATTGTTTGTTTAAATCTTTGTTTGGAAAAAAAGTGTTAATTTCACTTGAGTTGTTTGCATGAAATCCTTTTGTCAATGTAGGCATTGCAGGTGTTGTGATTTCAGTATCTTATTTTGGATATTATTAAACTGTGTCGTTCTAAAACATGTCAAATTATTTTTTCTGCCTTACTCTATCCTTCTCGCCAGAACTAGTCTCTGAAAAAGTGAACAGGATGAAGGTTCAGTGTCTGTGTTAAAGACGAAATGTGGTGGTTAAGGAGATTAATTGGCTGATAAAGTCCCTGGTGAGTGATTGTTTTCTGGTTCAAAGGTTTGGGATATTTGTCTTCATGTGCTGGGGATGAAAGAGATGGAGCAGCTGGACTCTCATGACTGCTATTAAATTAATTTCAAATGACCACCTCTGGCTTCATACATGCACCTAGGTCAAAGTCATTTATAGGTAGTTGTTACTATTGTTGAGTCCAAACCAGACATTTTAATACAACTCAGAGAGAGGAAAAGAAAGTTTGAGACAAAGAAATAGACCTTTGTATGGATTACTGTTATAATGAATTGTTTGTGGGGCATTCCGCATCAGATGGGAATACTATTGTTTGTGTAGGGTTGCAGGAAGAGTAGGGAATTTGACTTGACAATCTTGAATCATTATGTGTGAGAGATTGGCTATGAGGCCTTGGTAAGCCCTCAAGAGAGACTGGATAAAGCAGCTTTTCAATAGATTTTCCCTACCAATGTCCAAGCGGCATTCCCAGAGTTTGTAGCACTCCAAAATCCTATAATGATTCAATGTGGAGTCTTCTTGGCCCTGTCTTACCTGCACTAATGAGTTTCCCAAAGGTGTGGAGGCTGTATGTGTTTCTTATTCCGCACCATGCTTGGCATTGCCCATTGTTTTAATGACCAGTCAGGCTCTGCAGAATTGGATATCAGTTGGGGTACATTTCTGTTGTTGGTTTGTGATTTTCTGTTGTGTGTGCACACACGTCTATAGGTGCATGTATGAGCAGTTCACACACAGGTCATGTTTGATCCACATCTTCTGCTCTGCTGCTGCAAATTAGTATTTTTTTTTCACCAAGCACTCTGCTCACTATGTCCTCTCACCTCGGTGTGATTGTGCAAGTGGGCTGGCCGTGGCCATGCTGACACTGCATGAGATTCACTCCCAGGGACTTTGCACAGGTCTCTGACAGGGACAAGTTGTCAGGGTGCATCCATCAGACTCCAATTGTCCTCGTTTTGGTCCGACCCAGCTCAGTCAGACCTGAGCAAGCCCATTCCAGTCTCTCTGCTGGAGATCAGCCCATAAAGACCCAGACTTTAATCAGTCAAGACAGGAGTCTTTAACCGGGGTCTCAGTCTGCCCGCAAACCCAATTACCAGTTTGCGGCAGGCTGTAAGTAGCACTGAAGAATGTTACATATGGGTAAGAACTTTCAGACAAAACCCAAAACCTAGATGTCTGCACACCTCAACACAATGCAGAGTCTAACATTGTTAAGAGCAAGACAGTGAGGGATCAAGAATAATACATAGAGTAAAAGGTGTTTATAAGTATTGCTGAAGGGATAAATTGATTAAATGAACAGAAAATGAACTGATGACATTCATGATGACACAGTCAGTCTTTCATTAAGTAAAATTGTTAATCATACTTGACAGTAAATTCTTTTTTGAGTCAATTGAATGATTTCTACTTAAATGGCTGCTCCAAGACAAAATACAACATTTAAAGACATCATTTTGGACTGTGGTAACTTCATATAAGCATCTCTCATTTATTAGCCAAGTAATTGACTGATTGAAAAACAAACAATGAACCTATCTATAATGAAAATACTGTAATAGCTTAACATTGTTTGCAGGTATACATATATAAAAAAGTGGTTGATGAAGGGAAATTAATTCTACACAGCACGATGGGAAACAGGACAATGGCCTGTCCCAACGAGTTGATGCTCATCAACCCACAATGACACATAGAAAACAATTGGATTTTGCCATTTAAATGATCCCAAAGGGGACGCAAAGCAAACTTTTACAGTGAGATCATTTCATCACCAGTTGTCTGTCCTGGTTAAAATCAGCTTCCAGCTCTGTGTCCTGTGTATGAATCTGGAGCAGGTCTAGAGTCACATTGA